CTCCTGGCCACCCCTAATTTCCCCTGGCCTAAAATAAACTATCGACTCTCTTAGCCTATCTAGATAAGATTTATTTTTCTTTCTGCTTCAGAGGAGATAGTCAGTGGACCTTGATCTATCCCTGCACAGTATTATAGTGACTTGTTGTTTGTAACATAGACTCACCTATATGTAAAACTATGTTTCTCAGAAACCGAAATTCTTTTCGTGCCTACACGATATTTATTATTATTTTGTATTATTGCTGAAAAGAATTCGTTTTTATCTATTTCAAAAAAAGAAAAAGGAAGTTTTTTAAATGTATTTTTTCATGTATTTTTTTTATCCACTTCCATTTTTTCATGACTGTGATTTTATAATTTATGTATTACTTACACATTTCTTTTCTTTTTTCGAAATGCATTTCTCGGTTTAGTCGATATCTTCAGTTTGTTTAAATTAAGTTTCATTTACACGAAACTACGATGATATTACGATATTTGGCGAGAAGAGATATTTCAGAATTTAAATTTTATTCTAATCTAAAAAATAATGTTTTACTGAATTCAATAAAGACAGAAAAATCGCTAGAAAAAAAATTATGAATTCAAAGAATGCCTCACATTATAAATTTGCGTGTGGTGGTCGTGTCGATATGTGATGAGCATCCACATTACATTTCATTTGACAAGCTAGTTAATATTTTATTCAAACAACTACAAATTACTAATTCAAGGAATAAAGAGACGATTCCTAAAACTTATTGATACGTCATTAGAAACCTTCCAAAAATGGCAAACCGAGTAATAGTTTTCTGATTTCAATTGTTCATTTTTTTTTGTTTATTGAAAAATATTAACTTCAAGCATTTTATTTAATGCTTAATTGTATCATAAGAACATAATCTGTTCATTTGCTAAATTTCATCGCTCCGTTTAGCTATCCTGAAGTCTCAGGCATCGAAAATATTATTTTTTATTCGATTTGAATTTTTGTATTTTTAAATTTATTGTTATTAAAACTTAAATTTTGGTCTAACTAGACTTATCGAAGTTCATCGGTCTTAGCGTGACTGTTATCTTTATCGGTGTCCACGATTGAGGTGCTATTTTAGGACTTGCTTATCCTTGTGGAATGGCCAGTCCTGTCCTAGGGCACTCTTGTATTTAATACTTTGTCTATTCTGTTAATAAGTCGACCGACTTCAGGACAATGTTTCATGTCGAAGGTACACATTTTTAGCAGATTTCGTTTTAATTCTAACTGTATATCGGAGGTCGACAAGCCTTGGTTTCTTCGTCTTATGTCTTATTTTTTGTTTTAAATTATTTTATTGAGAAATGTAACAATCTAGCACAATATGGACATTCCCTATAGTGAGCATAGAGTTGATTCAATCCATATTTACATAAATATAAAAAAAGTAAAGTAAAAAAGAAGACAAATAATAATCAAAAAGTATGTAGAGACAAGCGGGAATAAAAGTTACCGGAGTAGGTTGTTCCGAGTGAGATAGCTACAAAACGAAAAGAGATAAACGTAAGTCTTATATAGTATAACTTAATTCACATTTCTGTGATTCTTGTAATACTAATTATTATCTAAACTATATTATATGTTCCTAATCATTGAAGACTGATTAGCTATATCAGCTGTTAATTGTAAAGTAAGATGACATATAACCTGAAAGTATAACTTAGAGATGTGAAGTAATTATAATTAGTGATTACTATTATAAAAAAATTTATCTTTTGATAATTATATTATTTATCAAAGTTATTTTGTTTTCCTGTATCATTAATTTTATATTAAAACATTCGTTAAAGGTATATCCAATAGTCTTTTAGATTTATAAAGAAGTATATGTGTACAAATTATAAGCTAGCTTAAATTTTTTTAATAGGTCATTTTCTAAATAATATTTGAGGTTGTTTAAAAATAGGAACTTTTATCCCCGCTCTCACCTTCAATAAATAAGCTTAAAGATAAGTAAAGTAACAAAACACAGGCATAACTATATACAATATTTACAATCAGTCAAAGTAATTCGTGAACAGGCTTGTCCCTCCACTTGTAAAAGAAAAAGCACGACTCCAGGAGATCCCAGCCAGCGCTACTCTCTCAATCTCATCACTGATACTAAAAGGCAGTGTAAGTGAGAGCGCTATAACCACAATTTGTATCTATAAAAATAACAAAAATGATATATGTTTTAAAATGACAGGATATATGTTTTTAGGGATTTTTGGAAGTGAAAAAGTCACCATTTTTTTTTTCCAATACATCAATACTTGGTCTAGCAGTTGAACCGTCTTAAAAATACGAACATTTTTAGTGGTAAAGTCAGCTTTCAAGTCTTATGATTTTCTAATGAATTACGTCCCTATACCCCAAGCTCTAATAAACTACTATGATCATTTTTAATAGAACAGACTAGCTCTAATGTTGAAAATTCGAGGCTTATAAGAGATAATCTTTAGGTTGGATGATTTAATAGAGCGATAGTTGAAAAATGTTCTACGGATCGATCGAAAAATTGATGGGAGTATTGTATTCGGTCTAATGTTGAGGATTTGAATTTTATTGGAGAAGGATCAATCCATATGAAATAGTCCAATAAAGATTGATTTATAATGTTGCTCAAGTATGAAAGGGTAAGAAGAAAAACAACATTGGATTTTAGCGCAATATAGTATGTACTGTTCTGCAGAATATCCAGTTTTTAAACAATAGCTTGTCAGAGAAGAAACAATGTAATTACGTGAAACAAAAGCCAAGCTTTTAAATGTAATAGATTGCTATGAAGATATCTGCTTCCAGAACTGGATGGAACATCTTTCTTTATGTTGATTTGTATTCGAAATGCCCTTATTCCAGTCCTATTTGGATAGTTAAAATAGGAAAAGGTATTTACCCAAATGATTTTGTCCAATATTACATATTTTGGTACCTTTCCAATAAATACAATTTCCAACGAAATTTAAGAAAATTAAAGAAAGAAGAGGCAGTGGTGTTGCACCAGTGCTTTCTTTAAATGTTCAAATAACCAACCACTTCTTTCAAGAAGACCTTTTTCATTTTAAACAGTTTTTGGTCAAAGTATATTTCAATACACAATACTATCGTTCACTTTTCGAAAGAGTGTCAAAAATAGGAATAAATTGGAATTTTACAAGATAAGATTTTGAAGTGTGCCTATTTTCGTTTATCACCGCCTTTAACTCACTTTAAATTATCAATTTTGACATTTTTTTAGTCAGTAATACTTACTTATTTTGCAGTCAGTAATACTTACCTATTTTGTTAAAAATTAACTTTTTCAAAGGCTTCTCAGGTACTTCAAGAACACCTAGACGACATAGCTTGTTGGGCTAAAAGTTTGAAGAATAAAAATGAACGAGTCTAAGAGCCAATATGTTTCATTTACACTTAAACATGACTCTTGTCCTTCAATGTTCTTTAATAATATTGCTCTACTACCTTCAAAAACTGTATGATATTTGGGTCTCCACTTGGACAAACGACTGACATGGACATACCACATAAAACAAAAAAGAAAAGAACTCAATCAGCGATACGGACTTCTTTCTAGGCTACTTGACAGACGTTCTAAATTATCTGTGACTAATAAATTAACTATTTACATAGTCCTCATTAAACCACTTTGGACATATGGGATCGAACTATGGGGAACAGCAAATAAATCAAATATAAAAATCATCCAGTCATTCCAGTCAAAAGTCCTTCCGAAAATTGTAGACCCTTTACCCTTTTACGTTTCAAACCTCACGTTACACACCGACCTTCATCACGACAACTGCCACTGACCGCTTTAATAATTTTCATGACAGACTGACTCTAAATTCCAACCCACTTACTCAAGCTCTATCTACTGCCACAAATCCATATAATCCGCCCAGAAGACTGCTGAGGGGCTGACCAAAAGACTTATTGCATTGAGCTACTTGCTGCATTATATTTTTTTTTTTTTTTTGTGTTATTATGTTATGTGTTGTTTTACTACTTTTTTTTTTATCTTTTTGATTTGTTACTACTATTCTTTTTTTCTTATGCTATCATAAGCTTCTCCTTGATATCATATTTGCTGAATACCGAGGTAGATGGCAAATTTATTATGAGCCAGGAATATGTATAACTAATATAATAATAAATAATAAAACTTTTTCATTATTTAAATTTGTTTGTCATCACTATTTTCATCCTCCTTAATTTAGACATATTTTTAATAAAACAGGTATTAAAAAAAAATATATGAATCGAAAATTAAACAGTTTTTCTGTAAAAAAATAAATGGATCGTTATAGTGGTAAATATTCTAATGTTAGTACAATGTTAATTTTTTTCTAAAATTAACATTGTACTAACATGTTTAAATAAATAAACGAATAAATTTTTCGTGTAATTTACACGAACTATATGACTTCCATGCCAAAAAAAAAAAAAATAAAAAGTTTCTCACTTGTTCGTAATAAACTTGCTATGGAAGACTTAAAATTTATTAATACATTATATAAAAAAAAATCGAGCTTATATAAAAAAGACGGGCGTAATAATCTAGTAATTTATCGCCCTTAAAACCCCATCCTACTCTAAAACAATTCTGAGCCTTGTATTAAAACTAAGTTGTTTTTTCATTGTAAAAATAAACTAGCAATTATCACTTTTATAAAGTATTATGCAGGCTATTTATTAAAAGGATATGTAGGTTATCTTTCACCTACATATTATTATTTTCATTTTAATATTAATATTTTCTCATACCTACTGTTATCTGGTCTTTCCCTAATAAAGGCCTAAACTTTGGGCCGAAACGTCGGCAAAAATAAAAATCATTTATTTATTTATTTCTATTTTATATTTTTTACTGAACACCCCAAACAATTTCTCTTCAATTTTCTCTACAGTCAACCATCAATCCGCTATTGTTATAAGGATAATTATACATACTAATTTAATTTTATCTCATATTAATATTTAATCAAATTACCTGTTTTTACCAGGGACCAGAGGTATTTTTTTGGAAGGAAATTATCGAGATGACCACAGAATTTAAGAGAAATATTACCCTGTAAATTGTCATAATAAACAAGGTAATTAATTGATTTTATTGATGCATCTACAACAATCTATTTCTCATGGTTAATGGATGAAAATTATTTATTAGTAGTAATCCATGAGTAATAATACTAGTAAATTTTATTTCAAACAGCCATCTTTTTTTTTTTTATTGGCTATTTTGGGAGGAAAAATTCTTCCCTTTTCTCCTACAATGGACCCGCTACTTTTCCCTTGAATCCTTTATAACTTTGTGATGTTGCTTCATCAATTCTATTTGTACAGTTGGATACTTAGTCTTAGACATCTAAAAATATTTGATATTCATAGTGCCGATTAATAATTAATACTTACTAAATTAATCCAATGTTTTAGAATTTGTTTTGAATCCATTGGATTTCATAGCTTTTGGATGATAATCTTGAGAGGAAGAGAGTAGTTGAGTTTATGCATAGCCTGACATTGGCAAATTAATCAATTCTTACTGTCTAATAAAAAAAAAAGAAAATTATCCACATCCCATTATTTAATAATAGATAGAGCAGGTAATACCAGACTTTTCATTAAAGATATAATACACTTATTAAACCAGTTAATCTAGAAAAATATCATTTCACACTTATTTTATGCAACTCGAGTTATAAGGAATCAACTTCCTCCTTCATTTAACAAAGAAGAAAAAATGTTACACAGACATGTTTTTTATTGAATGAAAGCATTAAATATGAAAGTGGTGCTTCAATAAGCTGTTACCTTCGTTACACCAATGTAAGAAATTGTCAGAATTGTACGTGTTGAGAAATCAGTTCTATGATTAATAATATATTTGTTGACACTATATTGGTTTAATTTTGTTTTTATTTTACCATTAATTTTTTAATTTATAAATATCTTCAGGTTTGGAAAATTAATGTTTTTCCTCGTGTCGTCAAACTAAAAATAAAAATAATAAGAATGCATACCACGGCCTTTTATTAAAGCTGGATAGTCAGAAAATAAATAAAACATGAAACAATATTAAAAAATAACTGCCTCAGGTGATAAAAAAAAACACCAGTAAACTCAATTAAAAAAAAAAAATAAAAAAAATTTCAAGTTGGACATACATCGTCGTTTGTAATTAAACGGCAAACAATAACGTAAAATGTTCTGGAATTAAATATGTTGAGAACATATTTCTCTTTCTAAAACACTTATAACTTTTTTAAATATTTGGAGTGGTTTTATAGAAAATGCACTTAATCGGTGGAAAAGCAGTACTGGTGTAGGTGCCTATAGGCCTCTGCCACATCATTCCGTACTCATAAATGACATAGTTAAAGTGCTATAATAACGTTTATGGTACATAATATTGATTATATTAAAGAAAAAATATTAATGCAATAATTTAATAGTACAAAGAAATTAAATAATTTTTTTTTTTTATCCGTCCTTTATTCTATACGGGGGTCGTATAAGAAGGCCTATATATAGTCGTTTAATAAGGCCTCTAATGATATAATTATAATAACAAATCTTAATTCAAAAATACTTCACTGAATATCTTGAATTGTTTATTTAACGATTGCAATTTAACAATTTGTTTATTTTTCAAAAATTTTGTTAAATTTTCTCTTTCTAGTCTTTGTTATTTAATTTTTAACTGAACTTTTTAGCATTTCTTCTTTTAATTTTAACTTTGGATTCTCACCTGTTAACTCTAATTATTGTAATCTTTACCTTTTAATGTTACCAGTTTTTTTTAACTTTTAAAAAGTCTTTAAATATTCAACTTTCAATTTTAATTGTTTTTTCAACTTTCTTTCTTTTAATTCTGAACTTTTAAGTTTAATTTTTTTTGTACAACTTTTCCTTGTTATTTCTAACATTTAATTTTAAATTGTAGTCATTAACTTTTCGTATTGTAATTTTAAAAGACTTTTAAACCATAGATGGTAACTACTATTCTTGTAATCTTTAACTTTTAATTTTACTAGTTTTTGTTAATTTCACTTCATTTAATCTCTAACACTTAATATTAATTACATCTGTACTTTAAGTTTTATATTTATTAAGCTGTAACTATTTATTAACTTCCTATATTCACTGTAAACTATTGATAAACTGTATTTGTCACCTGTAGTTATGTAATATGAGTAATACTATCAGTTGATTTAAAAAATGTAATATAGGGCAAAAATGACTCAGGTGGTTGAAAAGCCCTTAACGTTTTGTAAATAAATAAATAAACAGTTTTTTTTTAAATTTGCAGTGTTTATTTGTTATGCAGTCATGAGGGAATTATATTGGCAGTGGTTATGAGGGAAAACGCAACATAGGGAAAATACATTAAGCGAACAAGTAAGGAATTGCCAAAGTCTCGAAAATGAAAACAAGGATCAGTATCCATTGTATGGTTAAACGAATGTTGAAATCAATTACAAAATGTTTCTGGACTACTATTAACAGAAATAATAAAAAGCATAGATATTTTTATGCTTATGTACCCGTAACACCAATATTTAAGTTTAAATGTTTTTTTAAATCGATATTTATATAATCAAAAGAAAGGATTGGTGATCCTTGTTCAAGCTCAATGATGTAGTTAAAAAAAAAAGAAGTGTATTTTTCAGTTATAACTACTAAATATTCCAAATACGTGTAAGTGCAAACATTAAGAATATTCTTTAGATGAAAAGGCTATTTTTATTTTATGAATTAGATTCAAGAGTTTCCATAAAAGTTCAACACTATTTAAAAAAAAGTTTGTACATGTGTATTCAAAAGCCTAAATATATAATTTGTAAATTTATTCGTTTGAATTCAGAAGTTATGCTGTGATGTTCGACGAACGATTCTTCTATTCCATTCTGTCACTAAAACAATTTAAGAAATATTTATAAAATTAATATTTGTTTTAACAACAAACAATTTTCTTAAAGGTTAAATATATTTTAGGTCACCTTACTTTATTTAGCTTCATTTTTTGCAAACAATTTGAAATAAATAAAATGAAAATTATGTCAAAAGCGTGAATATAAGAAAATAAAAATCTGAAAGTCTTTTAATTTTACTGAGAATTTCTATAATAAGTATTGGAACTGTTTTTAATCAAGACTGTTTGCGATCTTTAGTATTTTTATCTTAAATTCGCAGTATTTATGTTAAGAATCGTTCAGGGAAGCTAAAGTTTCTGTTTTTAAGTCGACTATTAGCGATAGTAAACAATTTACTACGCGGAGATAGGACACGGATCTGGAACTTCTTTGAAATCCAGCATTTTCTTTAATATTTTAACTATGGCGTTTTCCGTTTTTAAGAAATACAGTCTTATTTTAAATTTCTTCTTAATAAATAAACTTTAAACTATTTACATTAGTGAATGCATCGGTGGGAAGGAGTAGGAGGTGAATTACAAATGAAGCAGTTATCCAATTATACTCGGCTCTGAACCGCTTCAAACGGTTTGGACTGGAGGTTTGTCGATCGCTCAAGTTACGTAACCTGAAGTACAGACAAGATATAAATTATTTTATTGACAACGTGGGTTTTATTGTTCATGTTATATGAATGAAATCATATAACTGCAAATAAGATAGCTTCACCCAAAAGGAGATCAAAGATACGTGGATTTCTATATTAAGGACACAAAACATTCAATTAGGATTATATTTAAATATAAATATGAAAATATACATAAAACCTTAAATATATAAATTAAATATGATTCCTGTTCTCATGAAGTTCATAATAAAGATTATTAAGATTATTAACCCCCCTCCAAGTCGGTTAATAATAAAATAATAAAAATAGGAAAATGTTTTTTTTTCCTTGGTCCAATTTTGTTTCTTTGAATTATAACGTTATATCGTTATTGAATTATAACATACGTTCTTCAACTAAATTTAAGCATGTTTCGAAAAATAATATGGAAAATTAAATAGCATTATTTTCCATGTTTTATTTATTTATTTATTTTTTTTGTATAGCCTTTTCTTACAAGTATTACACCTGTAGGCCTCCTATAATTAAGAGGTTAATGGTCTAACTTCCCGCAGTGACCAGCCGTATTGGGGAGTAATTTTTCATGTAATCACCGTTATATAATTTTTTTTTTGTCCTCATATTTCCATCCACACCTGTCATGAGCTTTACAATAAGCAGATGTCCTGTAATTAATACGAAAAATTGACATTTTAGGCTTGGGGAAAAAAATAGTACCCAGCAGCACTTCTTCCTGGTCTTGATTTATTTCCTTAATTCAAGAAAGGAGATCTCTTATCCAGCTCCTCTTTAGTCGTCTCCTGACAGACATATCAGCCGGGACCATATCGTTAATAAGTCCGTGGTTATGTCCGTGTAGTTTAAGACAAAATCTGGAATAGAGATCGCGTATGTGTTGGTCGATAGTTAGTTGCCAATTAAAATTAATTAATTAAAAATTAAATTTAAAATTAATTAAGATAACAAACTTTTACCCTAAAAACTTTGGAATGGATTATATTAAACAGATAAGTACATAAAACGAAGTAGTTAACGGTAGCTGCAGTTCATTCTGGACTAGTTTTGTTAACTTGTATAAGTGTATTTTATTTACATCGTTGTTACAATTTCATAAATTATTTTAATTGTACTTTTCATAGTAGTAGAAGTATTGTTGTCCGCAAAACTAATTGCATGATAAGTTGGATGTGGGTTCACTGATGAAAAACCAACTAATATTAATTCTGTGATTAATTTAAAAAGCCATTAGTACACCAATGTTGTTTTGTATTTACAACCCTTTACTGAATTATCACAACAATTCGGCTGTTTGAGCCATTTTCAATTCTATCAGGAATAAAAGTTCCTTCCTTTCTGTCTTGTTCAATTGAATTGCTCAGTAACAATTGAAAAGATGCGATGAATATAGAAAACGATGGATATAGAGACAAGGAAATGACAAAAAATTGTTTATATGATGATGCGTTCTTTTCTATAAGAAACGAAGGGATTTTTAAACATGATGACTAGAAAATGACAATGAGCCAAAACGTTGTCATGATCCAGGACTGTAAA